GGCTGCTGGGGGAGAGACCCCCCCATCCCTCTCCTCTCCACGCCCTGTTCGCCGGGCTCCTGGGGGTGCTGCTGGGGGAGACCTCTTCCTCTCTACATCCTCTTTCCTATCCCACCCTGGCTCCTGGAAGCACTGCCGCGGCGGGCTGGGTATTCCCTGAGCCCCGAGATTCCTGCACTTCTCATTCCCTTCCCAACTATCTGCCACCCTTCTTGCTGGAGCCTGCCTCCCTCCCCACTCCCAGCTCAGCCGAGTCACCCTCCCGCCTGTCTCCTTGTGGCTGCTGCTCTCCCCATAACTCGTCTCGCTGTCTCACGCCTCTTCCCTGCTGCCTCCTGTCTCCCCGCAACCCCTCTATACCTAGGGCCCCTTCCCCTGAGCGCCTCCTGCCTCCCTGTCTCTCTGCCAGCTGATCTGAGTTCTCCAGCCTCTAGTTCAGGGTTTGGCAACCTTTCAGAAGCGGTGTGCCGAGTCTTCATTTATTCACTCTAATTTAAGGTTTCGTGTACCAGTAATACATTTTAACATTTTTAGAAGGTCTCTTTCCATAAGTCTATAAAATATAACTAAACTATTGTTGTATGTAAAGTAAATAAGACTTTTAAAATATTTAAGAAGCTTCATTTAAAATTAAATTAAAACGCAGCGCCCCCCGGACCGGTGGCCAGGACCCGGGCAGTGAGAGTGCCACTGAAAATCAGCTTGCGTGCTGCCTTCAGCACGTGTGCCATAGGTTGCCTACCCCTGCTCTAGTTTCTGTTCTGTTTCCCTATACCTCCTTTTTACCTGCACTGAGCAGAGATGGCTGCACTTCCCTCCTCTCCTGCTGCTGGTCTCACTTCATTGAGCTCATAGCGCTTCACTCTTTTTTTATTTTCCACTCACCCTTTTCTTCCTTCTGCTTCAGCATCTCTCCCTCCTAACAACAGCAAGTTGAGCGCTCATCTCTTCTGCTACATATTTCCTAACTGACTTAAACGGAAGGGCTCTTTTCTCCTCTTTCCTCATTCTCTTCTTTCTGCGTGTGGCTCCTAACCTGCCCTCAAATGAGATATTTTTGCTCCTCAGTAACAATTTGAGAACCCTAGAAAATTTTAAAATTCCCTATAAGTGTTAGGAATTATTATTGTAACTTTATCTGGCTAACAAGGCCTGCAAGTGATGCTGAAGCTAATACCTTCAGTGTCTCTAAAATAGATTACACAGCGGTAATGGGTCTTCTGCCATGTGACCATTTTGCATTACTATCCATTTCTCTTTCGAGTTTTTCTTTTTCTCTACATTTGACATTGTAATGTTCTGTATAGTCTGGAGATTTTCCACAGTCCTTTGCTTGGTGTCCTTACACATATCACATTCTGATAAGAGAGACTGTTGTTGTTTTTTTTTTAATCAGAAATGTAATATGCTTTGTTGAAACATACTGCAAAATCTTTGACTGTAATAGAATCATAGAAGTGTGGGACTGAAAGGGTCCTCTTGAGGTCATCTAGTGCAGTCCCCTGCACTCAAGGCAGGACTATATAATAACTAGACCATTCCTGACAGGTGTTCCTAATCTGCTCTTAAAAACCTTCAATGACATTGATTCCACAGCTTCCCTAGGAAATTTGTTCCAGGGCTTAACCACCCTGACAGGAAATTTTTCCTAATGTCAAACCTAAACCTCCCTTGCTACAATTTAAGCCCATTACTTCTTTTCCTATCTTCAAAGATTAACTAGAACAATTTTTCACCCTCATCCCTGTAACAACCTTTTATGTACTTGAAAACTGTTATCATGTCTTCCCTCAGTCTTCTTTTCTTCAGACTAAACAAACCCAGTTTTTTCAATTTTATAGCTTATAAAGTGCATGCAAAAGAAGCCTCAGATGGGAGGGTAACCCTCATAAGAGTGAAACTTGACAGGAGTCATGGTTGATATTGGGTAATTTTTCATTGTTTTCCTGTGTGTGATGGTTAGGCGCTATAATATATTTATATTACAGTAGTGTCCCTGTGTCCCGTAAACAGGACTGGGGTACTATTATCCTAAGCATGGTACAAATGAAGTTCCCACCTGTATAGAGTTTGCAATCCCAAAAGACAGGAGAGAGGCAGAAGGTGGGGAAAAGGAACACAAAATACAATGAGAAGGAGAATGAGGTTGAGTAGCTGAGGAATTGCGGTGTTAAAGGGGTGGAAGAGAGATAAAAGGCAACCAACAGCAATACAGCAGATAAAAGGAGAGAGTCTAAATTTTAGTGATAAAATAGAATTGTTTTTACAAATACAAATCTTTTCAGAGTTGAGTAAATGATGCTGTCCAGAGGCTGCAAAGGCCTCTCCTGGCGGCGGCTGCTGCTGCTGCTCATGTGCAGAATTGGGTAGGCTACATGGCTTAGTGCCTAGGTGGGTTCTTTGGATTGTAGTATGCAGGCTAGAAAGCCTTCACTTGCCCACTGTGCCTTCAGTTGCAGCTGGTGTTGGTGTTTTTGGAGAAGGAGCCCTTCTTGTTCCTGCTTTTCTGTATGTGGGGAGAAAGGGAGGGGGAATAAACGGTCCCTGTTCTTTAGAAAGATCTCTTTGTCTTGCGGGACTGGAAGGCTCTGACTTACTGTCTCTGTTCCCTGAGCTGGTGTGGGTACTACCTCAAACTGATAAATTAATTATTTTTTAAAAAGTGATACTTCTAAATGTCTCATTGAAACACCTTTCAAAGTCCTGAGGCAGATGCTTTAGAAAGTGCTTTGAAATTAATCCCACATAAATGAGACTTGGTGTGTTTGTTATTGGACGATCTCTGTGAAGTGTGTAATGATATGATCAAGGCATCTTCAGAATGGTGTCTGTATGATCGGTTTTTGGAGAAGGAGAGGGTAATCGTTTTGTTCTTTGTTTTTTTCTCTCTCCATGGAAAGTTTTGGAAGTTTCATTGCTTGAGGCACTTAAAAATTAAACTGGCTGCAGCCCTTGATATACTGTAGGAACAATCTTGCACTGATATAAACACATTTCCTACCCAAAAGTGATGTTGACCACTTTTAATTGGATAACCGTTTCCTTAAGATATTGATATCTTTCATATTGATCAGTAATGAAGTGACTGTTTCTCCCTATATTTAATTTTTTCTCTTCCCTACCCCTCAGATAAGAAAAGATAGCTGTTACAGTCTACATTCGCAATCAGAAACAGCTTTATTAAGACATACTTAAGACAGTATTTCGTCAACTAGCTATATTCTGAATACTTGAAGACTGTTCATTTTGCAGCTGACAGATGTGTTACTGAGATCAACATAAACAGAAATATTATCTGACTCTGAAATACCATAGATCAGGGGTCGGCAACGTTCGGCACGCGCTCGCCAGGGTAAGCACCCTGGCGGGCCGGGCCAGTTTTATTTACCTGCTGACGCGACAGGTTCAGCCGATCGCGGCCCCCACTGGCCGCAGTTCGCCGTCCCGGGCCAATGGGACACCGAGAAGCCGCGGCCAACACATCTCTCGCCACCCCCATTGGCCCGGGACAGCGAACCGCGGCCAGTGGGGGCCGTGATTGGCCGAACCTGCTGCATCAGCAGGTAAATAAAACTGGCCCGCCAGGGTACTTACCCTGGCGAGCCGCGTGCTGAACGTTGCCGACCCCTGCCATAGATTATGCCATATTGAAATAATGGAAGAGTTTTGTTGGTAAAACTCTACCATGTAGGCAGTGATTGTCTGGACTGATTCTACTTTTAACAAGTTGACTTTTTAAAAAATAGGATAAATACCCTAATTTAGCTATGGATAGGAGGAAAGGTTGTGTGTCCCAATGACATTTCATTGATACTTTTGGAGAGTGCTGTTGAATAGTTTTGAAACACTATTCCAGATAGTATACCTTGTTTTGAGAAGAATGAATGGAATACTGTACAATTATGGTACATTATGGAATCCTGTTGCTTCCGTTTAAATTTTTGTATTCAGTTCTGCCCAGTTTTACTTCCTATGTAAGTAATCACATTGGCTTCAACTGGGATTAGGTGAATAGGAAGTCAGGGCAGAATGGAGTCCTAAAGCTATTTGCAATCTTTCTCTAACCTTTCTGCTTAACCTCTCACTTTATCTCCCTAGTTACACACTCTCCTTTCACCATCTCCTTTGGCTCCCAGTTTTCTTTAAGCATTAAAATCACTTCTGGGGTCCTGTGTGTCTAATGCATTAAATTGTCACTTCAGAAAGCAATATCTCCTCTTTGGGGTGTGCTGATTTGACAGGTTCACTGGAGATGTTGCTTTCTAAGTGCAGATTGAGCTTGAGGTGGACAGAGTTGGGGGTGGAAAGACAGTTCAGTGGCTGATTAAAGAGTTAGAAAATAAATAGTATGTGGAGAAGTAATAGTTCCTTCTAAAATAGCTCTTGTATTACTGAAGTTTGAATTCTCTGTTGAATTCTGGGTACCACATTACCAGAAAGATATTGACAAATTGCAGGGAGTGCAGTTGAGAATAGAAACAAGGGAATTTTAGGTATTGATTACAGTGTAAGGGAAGATACAAATGACACTATTAGTAATGTCATCCTAATGTTGAGATAATTGTTTTTTACTATTTGTAAGTCTTTTCTCAGAGGATTTAGAGCATTGTGCAACAATCAATTTAAAATATTATTTTCAGAAAGCAACGGGGTTCTGTCCTTACATAAAACACATGAACCAGGTCTGATATATTTGGATTTTCCAAATGAAGTGGCTAGCAACTCACAATATTAGTCAAAATTTATCCAAACTGGTTAGGATGTGAACACTGTCGCATGGACAGAAGAGTCATGGACTATTGAGGTATCACAGAGGCTAGTGTGAGAACCCATTGTATATAACATTTTCATTAATGACTTGGAGGTGGTTGTTGAGGTGATAAAAGGCACACTAATGAAATTAATAGATGATACTAAAGAAGGCGGCATTGGAAGGACAGAGATAATACAAATATATGTTATAGACATTAGAAACATGGCCCAAGAAAAACACAACAAGATTAAACATGGAAAAATGCAAGCTTTTAAATCCGGGGCAAAAGAAATCACAAATTCTGTATGAGGGGAAAATGTGGCAAACAGATATGCTGAGACCTGAAATTGACAGACAACAAATTCGGTATGAGTTTGCACTGTGATATGGCAGGCAAAGACCAATACAATTTTGTGATGCGTGTACAAAAGCATCATGTCACAAAACAAGGAGGTAGTAGTTCCTCTTTGTATGACTTTGTTCAGTTCTGGACACCTTATTACAAGAGAGAGAGATAAATTAGAGGGAGTTCAAAGAAGATCAATAAAAGTAAATCTGTACACTTATTAAAAAAAGATTAAATGACATAGGATGAGGCATAACAATTCAAAAATATCTGAATAGTATAAACATGAAATTACGTCAAATTGTTTATGGTAGTACAAGGAAATATATGTAGGAATTACAAGATGAAATTAATGAACATTTTATCTGCAAACTTCCTAACAATCTACTAAGCTGTGGAACCAAATCCTAAAATTCCCTCCATAATTCAGGAAAACTAAATCTATCTAGACTGAGAAAACAAACTTTAAAATGTGCTATAGGGAATGGCCTACAGTGACTAGTATCCATTTTATTTCCCAATTAGGCCTAATTTCTGAGATTGTCTCCCAGCTTGTAAGGGTAGTCAGTACATTTTTGGTTTCTCTAGACCAGTGTTGCTCAGCCAGTGGGTTGTAACCCACTGCAGGGTCATGAAAGGAATTGGGTTGGGGAGGTGGGGGTGTCGCAGTCTAAAACAAAGAAAATCTTGCTCCCCTATTCCCTGCAGACCCTTACCATTCAAATCAAGTATTCCCTACCAATCTCTCAACACACACAAAAATATATAGGTTTATCATTGTTAATACATTTACTATAAAAGTAAGAGTAAAAATGTTAGATTGCAAAATTTGACTTTGAATAAGTGGTCACCAACCTCAAAAGGTTGAAAAATGCTGCCTCACGCAAATTGGAGCAGATTGTTTTGTCATTTGAGTCATACATAACCGTTAGAAATATGTAAAAAAAAAATTGTAGGTTTTACCCTAGGTTTTCAGCAACTTGCTACAGATCTGGATAGGAATATGGTATCCTGTATGAAAATGAATGTGCACAGTTGTATTCTTGGCTTTCTCTCTTAATATCACACTTCTTATATTACAAAAATAATTGGTTTCCTATTGTCAAACTAAAAAGTTAAATGAATTGGACACTAGATTATTTTAGGATGTTGTAATAGCTTGACTTTTTAGAACGATGATTGAAGTGAACACCTCAAAATAGCAGCAATTTAAGACTGTCTGAAGGTTTCAAAATATATTCTGATAGCAACCCTTTACTTATATTGTTCTCTAAGTTTTAAAAATAATAAAAAAAAAGTTAGTGAAAGGCTCTGGATTAATTGTCCTAGAGACTAAAGTCCTGTATAGAGTCACAGTACTTGAAGAGTTCAGGCATTGGCAATTCAGTGCTTTAGTCAAAAATAAGTTATTTGGCTCAATACGGGTGTAGCTGAGTGGAAATTTAGTGGTGTGTGATATAGAGAAAGTCAGACTAGATGAACTGTCCCTTCAGGTCTTAAAATCTATTAATCTCCTTGCATTATGCCTCAACACTGATCTGGAAGGATCCCACTCTACCGAGATGGGGAAAGTAGTTAAGTCTTCGTATTGAAATTGCAAAAAAGACGGACAGTTGTGGTGGTGTCTTACTGTTTTTGTTTAATTGGTGTGGTATGCTCATTTTTTGTTTGTATTAAAGGCAAGTTAAGTAGTCATGTACCCTGGTGCCTCTTGCACAGAAAAAGCTAAAGTTTAAACAGTAGTTCTATTCACAAATGTTTTTTATAGAAAAGCTTAAAGGTAAATAAAAGCGTCAAAGCTAAAAACTCTGAACTGTGTATCATGAGAGTTAATAGGTAAAATGTATATGTCTAATTTCTGCTGAAAACTAAATGATTTCATTCTGTTTTTTAGGGGTCTTTGTATCCAGTGTTGTTCTGGTCTTGCAACAGCGAGCACTTTTCAAGTTTTATATGATCAGCTCGGCATTTCTGCTAGCTGCAACCTCAGTGTTGGTGAATTATTATGCTTCTTTGCACATAAACTTCTACAGTGCCTACTACACAGCAGCTTTTGGAATTCAGTTCCTCCCTCATAAAGGACCCTCACTATGGATGGCACTTTCTATCCTTCAGCTTACCTTTGGGATTGGATATGTTACATTGTTAAACGTGCAGTCCATATACTCCCAACTAATCATACTGGATATACTGATTCCTATAATAGGCTTGATCATTGAATTACCTTTAAATGTCAGACAGATTTTAGTTTTTATTTCAGGCCTAATTCTGACATTATATACCACAATCAATTTAGTTATGAAAATTAAATGGTTCTATTATTCCACACGATACGTTTCTCTCCTTTTAAGGCATATGTATCGCATTTATGGATTACAGCTATTGATGGAAGATACGTGGAAAAGGATTCGTTTTCCAGCTGTACTGCGTGTGTTCTGGCTAACGAGACTTACAGCACAAGCAGTTGTGTTAACTTATGTTGTCAAGATGGCAGAAACTAATACAGAAGAGAAGTTCTACTTGATTTCTTGGGAAAATTGTTGGGAACTAGTTTGCAGTCTTATAATAAGTGGGTGTGATTCTACTTTAACTGTCTTAGGCATGAGTGCTGTAATTTCTTCAATAGCCCATTATTTGGGACTGGGTATTTTGGCTTTTATTGGATCAACTGATGAAGATGACAAGAGGCTTGGTTTTGTAGCACCTGTTTTATTTTTTATTTTGGCTCTGCAGACTGGCTTAAGTGGTCTAAAGCCAGAAGAGAGACTAGTTCGCCTAAGTCGAAACATGTGCCTTTTGTTAACTGCAGTCCTGCATTTTATCCATGGAATGACAGACCCTGTACTAATGTCTCTCAGTGCCTCCCACGTGTCGTCATTTCGCAGACACTTCCCTGTACTTCTTGTTTCAGCTTGCCTTTTTATTCTTCCAGTTCTGCTCAGTTATATCCTTTGGCACCACTATGCACTAAATACATGGCTTTTTGCAGTTACAGCATTCTGTGTGGAACTTTGCCTAAAAGTAATTGTTTCTATCACTGTTTATGTACTATTCATGATTGATGGCCACTATAATGTCCAATGGGAAAAGCTTGATGATTATGTCTACTATGTTCGTTCAACAGGCAATATTATTGAGTTTATATTTGGTGTAATCATGTTTGGAAATGGAGCTTATACCATGGTATTTGAATCAGGAAGTAAGATTCGGGCTTGCATGATGTGTCTTCATGCTTATTTCAACATCTACTTGCAAGCAAAGAATGGCTGGAAAACTTTTATAAATCGCAGGACAGCTGTTAAGAAAATAAACTCACTTCCTGAAGTAAAAGGAAGTCGGTTACATGAAATAGATGATATATGTGCAATCTGCTACCATGAGTTTACTACATCTGCTCGTATTACTCCATGCAATCATTACTTTCATGCACTTTGCCTTCGGAAATGGCTCTATATTCAAGACACTTGTCCAATGTGCCATCAAAAAGTATATATTGAAGAAAAGGAAAATGTAAATATCTCTAACAATGGGTTTGTTGCACCTAATGAAAATCCTGTAGAAGTTGCAGAAGAAGCTGCTGAAGCTGCACATGAATTAAATGAAGATAATGACAGTACCGACAGTGATGATGATTGTGTGGCAGAACACCAGAATGAGACTCTTAATGTTGATTCTGACTCCCTGGGTGACTAAAATCACTGAGGTATTTGTTTAAAATGGAGTTCAGCAACAGAATAAAAGTTTCACTTCATCATTGTATACTTAAGCACAACAATGGTATCTCAGTGTTGTCTGTGAATGGTTGTCATTTACTCTGGTGTGCTACTGTAAATATACCACTAATTATTTCTGGTCTCTTTCATGACCACCTTAAACTTGTGTACATTATTGTACATGGAATAAAATGTTTTCACATGTTTTTAAGACAAAGTTGGAGAAACACTTAATTGACATAGTGAGACATGTAATCCATCTGCTGTGCCAAAGACTGCATACTAATAATTCTAGAACAATGGTTTTTGGGTGAGAGTTAAACTGTTGGAGAAATGAGACCTTCAGTATGCCTAGAAGACACAATTAGAGATGAAAAGTTTTGAACAGGAACTGGTATACCTATAAATTTAAAAACATTATAGCTCAAAAGTTTTATAGCTATCTCAAAATAAAGTTCAGGTTTGTAGAAAACTTAAAAGTACTTGTGTGTGTGGAATATAAGAATGAAATTGCTATGTTTTCTGGAAAACTCTCAGAACCAAGATGTATGGTGGACAGGTGAACTTCACTAATATTATGAGATGGTACCATGCAAAATTGGAATTTTGCTTTTTGCAGACTTATTTTAATCTGATACAAAGTCAGAGTACTGGAAAAGATGAATCAATAGACAAGCTGCTCCAGACTACCCTTAAAACTGATCCTAAAATGTTGTGAGGTAAGTAGAGCTGCAAAACTGTACAAAAAGCAGACCACATTTGTTGAGGCATTAGGTCAGCGGCCATCGTGGCTGCATGCGGCCACCAGGGGCTTTTTATGTGGCCACAGACTCCTGGGCAGTGATGGGGGGGCAAAGCAGTGGACCCTACCCCCTTTGGCACCACAAACACCAGAGGAGTAGGCTTTAGGCCTGGGGTGGCAGGCAGCAGCTCCAGCCTTGCAGCAGTGGGTTCCATCCCCTGGACATGGGGCTTTGGGCTCCAGGCCTAGGTTCCCCCCACATCACTCCTGGCCCCCATTATGGCCTCTTACCCTGTCACATAGCTGCAGGGCTCTGCTTCTTAGGCTCACCCTGGCCCCTGCTGCTTTCCTACCCACCTCCCTATCCCAGGCTTAATTTGTCTTCCAGCTTGCCAGAACTGAGTAAGTCTGTTGTGAAAAGTGATATTTGTATGTTAATACACCTCTACCCTGCTATAACGCAGTAAAGCAGTGCTTGGGGGTGGAGGGGGCGGACGGGCTGCACACTCCAGCAGATCAAAGCAAGTTCGATATAATGCAGTAAGATTTTTTGGATCTTTAAAAAAACAAACCCAAAACAGTGCACACCCAACCAAAAATCACACCAAACAAACAACCAAACCATGCAAAGTGTTTTGTTTCTATTCTGTTTAGGTCCAGTAAAGAATAGAGACAACTGTATATTTTTTTATTGAGTGCAAAAAAACCCTACATAAATAAATTACAGTGATTGACATGTATATGTCCATATTTGTTTTTCCTAAAGTTAAGTATTTTAGGAAAAATGGTCAGAGTGGCCGCCAGAAAGTTGGTGGCTGCACTCTGAGGCCATGAAAAAATTTGTTGCAAGAACCCCTGCTTTAGATGTTCAGTATTTGAGGTTTACAAAGACAGGTTTAATCTTGTCATACCTCAAAATATAATAGTACTTTTTTGTTTTGTTGCAGGAGTGTTTTTTTATTAAGTTTTATAGTAAGGTTAACAGGCTTTGCATACTTTTATACAAAATAAAGGTAAGAAACATAGCATTACATATCTGAAAAGAAAACTTTAATAGTATTGTTGTAAAGAGTGTTGGCCAGTTCAAGTGGGTCTTCCTCTCTTACTGTCGTCATTATTTCCAGTACTTGACTAAAAAGAAAAGTTAATTTTACTCAGTTATGTGTCATGGTAAATATACTAATGTCAGTTTAGTTCTTGTGAACACTATTAGCTATGAGGGGACCAAGATGGTTGGGACTTACTGCTGAAAGTATACTTTACTTTCATTTACACACAGTAACTAGCTTCTGCCACTTAAAACATCAACCACTCACTGGCAGTCTCTTAATCTTTGATCCTTTGACAACTTTTGCTTGGCCTATATAGGTAGGTAAACAACCTTACATTCCAATGAAAGGTTTCAGAGTAGCAGCCATGTTAGTCTGTATCTGCAAAAAGAACAGGAGTACTTGTGGCACCTTAGAGACTAACAAATTTGTTAGTCTCTAAGGTGCCACAAGTACTCCTGTTCTTATTCCAATGAAAGTGATTCTGCTGTATGGGTGAAATTTCTGCTATTTTGGATAAAGTGCAGTATAAATCTCGCACCTAGGCCATCAGAAGTTCAAAGGGTGAAGTTCAGTAAGAGTCTAGTCAATTAAATACTCTATACTCTTGCTTCCTCTCCAAATTTTTGATTTCTAATGAACAAGTTCTTAGGTGTTTAACAATAGCTTGTTAAAAGGGATGGGGAAGAAGCTGAAAGATAAGACTAATTTAATAGTTGCACTTTTAAAAAACTGTCCACCTGAAAGCCTTGACAGGTGGAGCAAAGCACTGCCACTTATTTGTATTTAGAAAATACAGGTTTTCAATTAGTAGCTGAGAGACAAGGATGGACTAGTTATTCCTTCCACTACTTTGTGATCACTGGTGGCCCTTAGGACTACCTTCTGACTATAAATCACTATTGGGCTTCTTTAGAGGCAGCTGAATTAGGGGATACACTTATGCTTAACATCTCAGGAAAAAAACTCAGTTAAGTTATTTCAAGATCTTTTTTTCTACTAAAAGTTTCAGTTCACAAGAAAATTTTCTGCACGGGTTGTTTGTTGTAGGCACGAGACATTAACAGTAAGTGAAAGTGATCATTAAGGGACAGATTCTCAGCTGGTTGTAGATACATTAGCTTTAGTAGAGCTACACCAATTTACCCCAGCTGAGAATTGGCCTCAGGAAGTCTCACTAGGAAATCTTAAGCTGAAGTCCATATTTAGGCCAATAAATAAGTGGCCTGTTTTTTCTAAAGTTCTGAGCACCCAGCAGCTCCCCTTAACTTCAGTAGAAGCTGCACAGCATTTCTGCAAACCAGGCCACCTATTTAGGTTCCTGAATAGAAAATCTCAACCGGACATCCATAAAGTCAGACATTTAGCTAGTGTAAATGGGCATAGCTCTACAGAAGCGTATGTAGCTACCCCACCTAAAACTAGGTGAGAATCTGTGTAGCTCTGACAATAACAGGGAATTTTCCCCTCACGGAGAACAGACCATGACCAGATGGCCTATGACAAAGGCCTGATGTAGTTTATTTTGATAGTACTTTCAACCTTACCCTCCTCCTTTAATAGCCACATCTTTTTGTTGTTAAAGATGAAGGGCTTGATCCATAAAGGGGATGTAGGGTCAGCCTTGTAATGTCTACATTTAGGTGCTCTGCCATCCAGAGGACACCTTAGCCCTGAGTCAGGCTCCCATGCTCTCTGCACTGTGCGTGATGGTTAGATGCCTAAAAAAGGGATTCACAAAAGCCATCCTAGGCTGAGCAGGAAGCTGCCTAAACTAACCAGTAGATGATGCCAAAGAGAGAGGTTTTGCCTAAGCCTCACCCCCTTGAAGGGAATTAGGTGCCTGTTTCCACTTGGGATTCACCACTGTCAATCGTTTCCTAATTAGACCCCTAAATCAGCTCAGCCCTTTTTCAAGTAAAACTGGAGGAGGGTACTGCCCTTAACCTCAGTAGCCAAGTAGTTAGCGTACTCTGCCAGAATGTGGGGGAGAGAGGTTCAGATGTCCACTTTGCCTGATGGAGAGCAGAAACTTGAACACAGGTCTTCTACCTCTCAGGTGAGTACCCAAACTGTTAGGCTAACGGTATTCTGGGATGAGCGTCTCAGTCTCTCCTGCTGAAGCTGTTTTACTTTGTGTCACATACTTAATCATCAGCCTAGAGAGAACACTATAGCCTAGGGGTTAGCAGACTATCCTGGGAGACTCGGGTCTCTGCTCCAGTGACAAAGTATTCCACTCCTTTTCAGGCTGGGTTTTTCTAGGGTCTATTCCAGTAGACATGCTCTTAAGTGACCCCTGAGAATGCCTACCAAATTAAGACCTGCAGGCAAGATAGATGAGAGAAAGTCTAGTTTGTGAATCCCACTGGGGCTTAGGCATGAAATAGGTGCTGAGCATCAGAACATGGTCAGCTTTGCATGTACCCACCAGCAGGAATTTAGGCAGCAGCAGAGCAAGAGTTGAATGTAAGCATATAAAGTGGCAGTTAAATACCAAAATCTCTGTGGATCTAGCTTAAGGTTGCCTCCAGTGTCACTTATCACACTTCATTTTAGCTGAGACTAAAGTCATTTTTTAAAGTAACCAACTAAAGATTTTGTTTTGTCCAATTTATATTTGACAGCTGATCTTCAGGGTTGAAGTTGGCTGCGTGCTACTTGTGATTATTTTAAAGGGTGACTGACTTTAGGTATACAATTTTTAGGTCAAAATGTGACTAATGTTACAGGTTGCTGACTGTTACTGAAATCAGAAAATCCTTCCCCCGCCCCCAGTAAAATAATTACTAAATAAAATTGTATCCATAGTTAGTTGCACTTCATATCTCATGTACTGCTCGGGGGGGGGAACTCCCCTGCATGTTCTCCCCTACTCTCTGTAACAAGGTATTGACTGCTACCAGCTAAATTGAAACAGGAGCAGCTGAAAAGCATGTGTGTAGAGAAGAGGAGTAGACTCAACATAATTTGAGGTTCATCTAGATAACCTTTCTAAAACAGTATTAGTGAGCAGATCAACTTTACAAGTTGGGGACATATATAAGTTGTCAAAATATTGTTAAATCATACTATGTCCCTATAAGGTATGATAATGTATTGAAAAGTATGGAAAGTACACGTTATTCAAAGGCTCCTACAAATTGTTATGCACAAAGAGCGTCTGAACACTTTTATAATAGATGATGTCATATCAAAGTAAGATCGATCAACGATCTTGTGGATTACTTGCCAAATTTATTTGGACTCTTTAGTAGCTGTATCCAAAGACTTTTTTTTAGACACTAGCTTTTAAAAACTTACTTATATAACTTTTTTTCTCAAAATGACTGAACATTTCTATGATAAGTAAAACTAGTTTCAGATTTTGATTACTACAAATGTATTTACATTCTTGCTGACAGACACTCTTGCAAACTGTTACTGGGCTAAAAGTGAATTAAAGTCACAACTAGGCTTTGGAGAATTTGATTTTTAGGTAAATGTCAATTTCACCATATACAAACTGATAAATTTTTTTCCATTGATAATTGAAATTTACAGATAGAGAAAAATGCTGCTTGAGAACTTAGAGTTTGATTAAAGGATAGTTAGACATGTGATATTGACCATTTCCATTTTTACAATTATACAGCTTTAACTTTTTGACTCTCAACATCCACTGTCATTAAATAATTGCCTCACCTCCCCCATAATTTCCCACAACTGTGAAATGTAAATTGATAAAAACGGGGGGAAAAAATCACTGTTGACATTATAAAATAATAAAAATCAAACATTTTTAAGCCTACTTATAATCAGAGCACTTCACTTAATGTTTTGTGGTGGTGGGTAGAAACAGGAGAAAGCAGATCTAACCCCCAAACCAGGCTGAAACAATAGGGGATCAGCATTTGATGAGATCTGAGTATTTCAGCCACCAATCTCATTTAGTGATTATAATTAATAAAATTTAAATCAAAAGCAGTACTTTTACCCTCTTCTGTTTGTTTTTTCTAGACATTTAAATTCTAGAGCAATGGGGTCCATAGGCACCTGAAGAGTTTCCCTCTCCAAACTCCCTTTTGGGGTATTCTTGTTTATCTCCAAACCTCAAACTGGTGTTTTTACTGGCTGTAGAGCAGAACAAAACTGATGTGATCTTAATCAGTTTCATTTTGCTACTGATCCTCAGGTTACAGCTACACCAATACTAGCCTCCTCATCTGCTGGAAGTGCTCTTAAACCAGTGGTGATTTGTCTCTATGTCCTGCTACCTCCCTCCCACTTTAAAGATCACACAGTTGGCTCTTCTGGTGTTGCATGTATTTTAACAGATACATCTGGAGGAGCAACACGGTGACATTAATTAGAATCTGGGTATTTGGACTCTATTTTGGTAGTGCTAAGGGGAGAATTAACCTCTTGTTACAAAAGGGAACTACAAAATAGAGGGACGGAATACATGGGATATCAAATGAAAAGACATCACTAAGGACTTGATTTTAAGATTTGCTGTGCTTCCAAAATTCCTGCTGAAATCAATGGAGATGCAAGAACCTCTGAAAAGTTAGCCACAAAACATATATGTATTTTGTTAAACATATCTTAGAGTACAACACCTTGCTCCAGATTCAAAAATTCTGTCATTGGTTTAAGCCTACTACATTTTGTATGTACTTGTGTATGTTTTCAAACCTTTGTTTAAAATATAAAAATTACATACTTACATTATATGGCAAGGTTCATTTCTGTCCTTCAAGCAATGGTCTACTTCCCATTTCTTTTTTGTGGGAAATGTTGTTTTTATACACTTTGACCCAGCATGAGTATTTTTCACACCACACCAGGGAGCATCTAGCATGATTCAAACAAGAGTTAAATGTATACAATCGTTTAGTCATTTCATATAATTGTTTGCTCTTCTGTCAATTTGTCCTCCCCACCTTCCACAGACCAAAGCCCATTTTAGAAATCACTCCTCTTAAGCACAGTTTCTCTCCCAAATGATAAAGGAATGATTATGAGATTAGTTAATTTAACATCCATAATGATGAATAAATAACTTCAAATTACTATTCCATTATATTAAATTCTGTAAGATTTTTACATATTATAAAATTAGCCACTTTATTCAGCAATAATGCAGTACAATAAAAGAAGCAAGGAGAGAAATGTTACCGTGACAAGGCTGCTAGCCAGTGAACCACTGTGTAACCCACAGAAAGTTTATATACACCAGTGATACTCAGACTGAGGCTCGCGAGTTGCAAGTGGCTTTTTAATGCATCTCCTGCGGCTCTTTTCAGCACATGATATTAAAACACTGATTTAATTATTAACCAATCAGGATGATTTTACTATAGTAACCAATTGTAATTGATAAAACAATAATACTTGGTCAGTCATTTTGCTGCGAGAATAATATATGAACTAATATTTCCCGGTCATACTGTTTAAATATGAATATATAGTACTATAGTTAGTAAAATAATGAATTCACACTACTATGGCTCTTTTGGGTAATGTTGATTGCCAGTTTGGGTCCTGAACCATTGAAGTCTGATATCGGGGTAGCCGTGTTAGTCTGTATTCACAAAAACAACAAGGAGTCCGGTGGCACCTTAAAGAATCTGAAGAAGTGAGGTTTTTTTACCCATGAAAGCTTATGCCCAAATAAATCTGTTAGTCTTTAAGGTGCCACCGGACTCCTTGTTTTTACTGAAGTCTGAGCATCACTGATATACACCCTGATGTGCCTCTGTTTAAGACACAAATGAAATGCAGGGATTTAACCAGAGTTTTTAAAAATAGCCTTTTTCAGATATGCCAAATTACATAACTGTTGACTAAATCTCCTAATCTATTTTTAACTGTCCTACTACTGATGTCTGAAATAAATGTGAGTAGAACCGATATCCACTAATGGATCAGTTCAGTCATAACTAATTATTCCAGGAGGTATTTTCAGGCCCTCTTTCATATTGTTTTGCTTAATGAATTGGAATTTCCTGGTATGCACCCAAGTGCCATTACTGCCGATAATCGGATGGCCTTTATCATGTTCTTTCCCATAGTGTTTGGCATATCTACACTCTCATTAGTGTCTCCCCTTTTATTCATTTATGCCCTCAGTCTCGGTCAAGGTGATCTATGTTCTTTTCCAGCAGAAGAGGGCTGAATATAATTACTGCTGGAGCCTGTGAACTCTGCTTATTGAATCTGGCAGAGGGTTTTTTAGGGTATGTCTACACTGCAGTGTAAGCCCAGGGTTAACAGAACTCAATTTAGCAGACAGTGGGTTTATTATAACCTAGGGCTTGGGCATCTACACTCATTTGTAATCCCATGTTAGGAATTGTTGAACCCTGGATCCCAACCTGGAGCTCCAGCATCTACACTGCATTATGTGGGGCTGAATCCAACCACCCATATCCCAAACTTCTTAACACCCTCCCAAAATGTGGCCGCTCTCACCCTTTGATTATGGTGCAGTGTGGAAAAACTTGACTGTCCCTCAAATGTGACTGTCTAGAGGACAAAAAGTTGGCCTGTGGGATTGTGGAATACTTTTGGCAGTCTCCCAGACCACAAGTCCAGTGGGGCTATGTCTATGCTGGAGAGCAATAGGGCTTGAACTGTGGGTCCTGGCTTGCCTCAGGCCCTCTACCCCTTTGGGGTCCTGGGTTAGAGAGATCTGTGTGTTAGAAGGAACGCGGGGCTAGGCTTGAATTCCAACCCTGGGCTTACACTGCAGTGTAGACATACCCATAGAGAACAAGGTAATCCTTTCCCTATTCCTGACCCCTGTTACTGTGATGGTGAGTTTGTGTCTGTAGACTGCCCTTTATATTCATTGCCATACAAGCATAACTCCACTTCTAATAAAGTTTTCAAAACATTAAAAAAAATGCAGTATGGTCCATCAGAATAGCAACTTACCAGTTTCTATCATTAATCTTTCACTAGGAATTGACTTCAGTGTTTCTAAGTTGGCTTCTGTTTTCAGTGAGCTAGAAATCATAAAAATAGGGAGTGAATTTGGACTTAAGTTGATGTTTTGTTAAAGGACTGTGGCTTTGTGTTCAAACCATATTTAAGTCATTGTGACTAGAATCATCTTCTCAGAGCCTTCTGAAGCTCATAACTTTTAGAAATTAATTACAGTGTTGTCTGGCTGCTATTTAATTACCTTGCTTACAAAATGGTTTCTTAGCAAAAGTGGTTTCTTAAAGAATTAATTTCTAAATAATGCTTAAGTATTTGCTTCAACTTGTATTAAAAAAAAGTTCCCAGCTGTGATTCCAAGCCATGGCTAAAAATGACAACCCTGGGAGGTGGCCCAGGAAAGAGATCTTGGAGTCATCATGGATAGTTCTCTGAAGATGTCCACGCAGTGTGCAGCAGCAGTCAAAAAAGCAAACAGGATGTTAGGATAATTAAAAAAGGGATAGAGAATAAGATGGAGAATATCTTATTGCCCTTATATAAATCCATGGTATACCCACATCTTGAATACTGCGTACAGATGTGGTCTCCTCATCTCAAAAAAGATATACTGGCATTAGAAAAAGTTCAGAAAAGGACAACTAAAATGATTAGGGGTTTGGAACAGGTCCCATATGAGGAGAGATTAAAGAGGCTAGGACTTTTCCACTTGGAAAAGAGACGGGGCCGGGGGGGGGGAGGGGGGAAGTATGATAGAGGTATATAAAATCATGGGGGGGGGGGGGAAAGTGAATAAGGAAAAATTATTTACTTGTAGACATAACATAAGAACCTTGGGCCCAACAAAAAAATTATCATTCCGCAG